GGATGGGATCACTTTTTGATAGCAGGCGTGCGAAGTGGGGTTCGGTATTACAATCGGGTCAGCTGTACAGTGACACTGCAATGAAATTCATGAAAGACGAAGCTGCCAAAGCCAACACCCACGTGGTCACAATATTTGACCGTACAGCTGGTTGGTTCAGTGTTGCCGAGGCTATAGATCACAATGAAGGAAGGCCCAGGGGATGTTATCGTGTTGAATTAGATAAGAGCTGGTGTGATTGTGGAAAGTTTCAAGCATTCCGAATGTCTTGCTCTCATGTCATAGCAGCTTGTTCGAAGGCGCGCCAGGACCCAACCAACCTTCTTTCTTCAGTTCACCAAGTCATAAGTCTATGCAATGTCTACTCATGCAGTTTTCAGGTGTTGGCAAAGGAGGACTATTGGCCCGAATACGAAGGCCAAATTGTTTGGCATAATGACTTGATGCACAGAAAAAAGAAGGGTCGGCCTAACAGCACGCACATACGAACCGAGATGGATACCTCGGATAAGCTAGTGAGATTGTGTAGTTCGTGTCGGCAACCAGGACACAATCGTACGACGTGTCCAAACGTTGGTCCGAGCAGCAGATCATAGTTTCATTTGTAAACGTGTCCATTTAAATCAAAAGTAACTTTCATTTGATTAAAATCAAATTTCATGCTATTACAGGCAGAGGTAACTGCAAATTTCCTTCTATTATAAGCCGAGTTAACTTTCATAAATTAAACAAACATAACAACAAATTAAAAAGATACACCAAAACACCGGAACAGAGTGTCTACGATATCACGACCATCAACTTTATCTCCTTTGGTGTCAACATCATCACAAGGACGCCGGCATCATTTTCCACTTTTCTCCATTCACGAGTAACTCCGTTTCTATCGGTCTTCTCCACCAACCTCTCAATTTTCCTAATCTTTTCTCCTGGAGCAATATCCCCTTCTAGCCAGCGGTTCAGTTCCCTGTGCAAGTGTTCCAACGTCTGCGTATTCCACAGGAGCACCTTCATCGGAGGCTTTGTTGCTGAAAACACCACAAGTGCATTTCTTTTCATTATATCAAACGTTGGAAAAGGTTCCTCCGATGCTGATGACGAAGAAGAAGAACGTTGATTCAGAAATGCAGACATTATGGACTCCGCTCAACTCAAACCGCACTACCGCTTTAGTCTTTTAGGAAATAATGTTGTGAAAAAAAACTTGTGTTTGAGCTCGTATTTATAGCCAAAAAAAATGATAATTAAAAAACAATAATTTAGTGCGCAAATACATCAGAGCGTCTACGATATCACGACCATCAACTTTATCTCCTTTGGTGTCAACATCATCACAAGGACGCCGGCATCATTTTCCACTTTTCTCCATTCACGAGTAACTCCGTTTCTATCGGTCTTCTCCACCAACCTCTCAATTTTCCTAATCTTTTCTCCTGGAGCAATATCCCCTTCTAGCCAGCGGTTCAGTTCCCTGTGCAAGTGTTCCAACGTCTGCGTATTCCACAGGAGCACCTTAAAAACATATTACCATCAACTTTATCTCCTTTGGTGTCAACATCATCACAAGGACGCCGGCATCATTTTCCACTTTTCTCCATTCACGAGTAACTCCGTTTCTATCGGTCTTCTCCACCAACCTCTCAATTTTCCTAATCTTTTCTCCTGGAGCAATATCCCCTTCTAGCCAGCGGTTCAGTTCCCTGTGCAAGTGTTCCAACGTCTGCGTATTCCACAGGAGCACCTTAAAAACATATTATACAAAAGGATTGATCCTCCTCAGGGATCGAACCCATGTGCATTTGATGACAAAGTGATTACCACTGGGATAGCTATACATCCATTGATGAATGTCACCCCAAAAATATATATGGAAAGTTTAAAACCCTAGATGGGTGATTTAGCAAGCAACCCAATTTACTTTAAATTTATAATTTCATAAAATAATTTAAATTTTTAAACTTAATTTTTTTAATATTATAGATGACATTAAAAATTATATTATAAATTAATATTAATATTAATTATATAAATATTAATTAGATTATAAATTTATATTTTTTATGGTTAATAATAATAATAACTTAAATAAAAAAAGTATGAAAACGAAAACCCTAATAACCAATTCGCCAATTGGTGTGGCGAATGGCCACAAAATACACTTTGTCGCCAATTGGTTTGGCGAATGCGTTCAATGCCATTTAGCCTAATTTGCCAATTGCTTTGGCGAACGTCTGTTGATGATTTTCCAAACATTGCCATTTTGGTATTTTTTTTGAAATGTTAATTTGTTTGGTAAATAAAAATTAATACATCCAAGAAACATAATCGTACATCCAAGAACGAAACTATTATGTAGAAAGGGTGGGCCCATGCCCCACCAGAATTGTCATTGATCAACATTTAATATTACATATAATATATTAATATATTCAATCTATTATAAATTATGAAGAAAAATTAATAAATGTCTCCACTTAATAAAATGATAAAGTGTATCACACCCATATGTATTTAAAATATTCAATCAATTGCTTCATTTTTTTTATAAAAAAAATAATTAATTCTATATAATAAATAAAATAAATATTTTAAATAAAATTAAAAAAACTTAACTTTTCTTATTCCTATTAATTTTCTTTTGACTTTTTTCCCATACAAATAAATTATTTTTGACATTTCTCTTTCTCTCACTCCTCTTTCTCTTACCGTAAAGAGTCTCTCTATTACTAGCTTCTTCTTCATTGTTGATCTTTTAAAAGAAATTTTTTTAAATTTTAATCTTTATGAATTTATAATTAATTTTTATTATTGTAATAAGAGTAAAAATATATTATTACTTTATTGAGTTAGATATTATGTTAATAGCAGCAAATTTATTTTTAGAGTTTTGTAGTGTTTGTTTGAAATTGTTATGTTTGTATCGATTTTATAGTATTATTATAAATTTTTCAAATATGATTTTAATTGTGATTTTTTGTTTTTTTAGTAATAAGAAACGAAAAAATATTTCAAAGTAAAATCAACAAAGCAATCATCAACTCATAATGCTCAAACACCTAATGCAGGTCAAAGCCTCAAACTAGGTCCTCCCATCAAAAAAAGGTTTTTGAAGTTTGAATTGAAAAAACTTCCCAATGATCTCAGTTTAAGACCAAAAATGTCAGGTAATCATTCAAGTGATAGAGATGAAATTAGAAGATATTATTTGCTAAAGGGTCATAGTCAACTAAAAGAAATTATTTGCTAAAGGGTCACTACTCAAGTTATACTGGATGATCTTGGAGATGATTTTTTTTATTTATTTTAATTGATGAATCTCGTGATATCTCAGTGAAGGAGCAAATGGTTGTGGTTATACGTTATGTAAATAATGAAGGAAAAGTTATTGAGCGTTTTCTTGGTGTTGTTCATGTTTCAAATACTAGTGCTCTAACATTGAAATCGACTTTGGAGTCATTATTTGTAAAATATGGATTAAGTTTGTCAAGGATACGTGGACAAGACTATGTCGGAGCAAGTAATATGCAAGGTGAATATAATGATCTTAAAAGCTTGATTTTAAAAGAGAATTGGTCTACATTTTTTATTCATTGTTTTTCCCATAAACTCCAATTAGCTCTTGTGACATTAGCAAAAAAGCATTTTAAAATTGCTTTATTTTTTAATTTAGTTGCTAATTTGTATAATATTGTTGGAGAATCATGTAAGCACCGTGATATTCTTCGCGAAAGTCAAGTTACAAAGGTGAAAGAAGCATCGGAACATGGAGAAATCTCAAGAAATGACAATTAAGGTGGGGGAAATAAGATGAAGCTCACATTATGGTACATTACTTAGTGTAATTTCTCTATTCTCTTCTATGATTGATGTGCTAGATGAATTATATGCAATCTTTTGAATTTAATTTCATCTGGCACTTGATGAAAATAGTTTTAGGAATTACACATGATTTATCTCAAGCATTACAAAGAAGTGATCAAGATATTGTAAATGCTATTGAGTTAGTAAAAGTGTCCAAAATAAGGCTACAAGCTATAATAGACAATGGTTGGAATTCTTTGGTGAATGATGTTTCATTATTTTGTGAGCATAATGATATTGACATTCCAGATATGGATGACATTTTTCAACCGAGACAAAAAAAGTCAAAGAGAAAAATGGAGAAAGTATCTAATTTACATCATTTTCAAGATGAATTGTTATGAAGTGATTGATTAACAACTTCAAGAGTTGAATAATCATTTTACAGAAGTGAATACTGAGTTTTAAGTCCAAGAGATTTATTTTCTGCCGTTGATAAAGAGAGGTTGATTCGTTTGGCTCAATTTTATATCCTTCATAATTTTCTCAAGTGGAATTATTAACACTAGATTGTCAGCTTGAAAATTATTTCTTAATCGTATTCTCTGACAATGAATTTTCAAAATTAGAAGGAATTGCTGATCTATCTATCAAACTCGTAGAGACCAAAAAACATGTGTAACCGTTAATATATTTGCTTTTAAAGTTATCTCTGATATTACCGGTGACAACTGCAACAACTGAAAGAACTTTCTATACTATAAATATTATCAAGAATCGAATGCGAAATTAAATAGATGATACTTGATTAAATGATTGTTTAATTACTTAAATTAAGAGAGATATTTTTATTGATATTGAAAATGAGAAAATCATTCTAACATTTTTAAAACATAATTTTCATAAAGAATAATTATAATTTGGACAATGTTAAATAAAAAATTTATAAAAAATTTATATTAAAAAAAATAATAAAAAAATTAATTATAAAATTTTGATAAAAGCAATACACAAATTCTAAAAAAGACATATTTATCTTAACACGTGTTCTTACTCCTCTACTCAAAATTTCTGACTCCGTCGCAGAAAACACCTATTTCCTAATAAACTAAATTAAGAATAAAAATACTGAATTACAAATTTTAAGCAAACAGAATTTCTGATTTCCTCTACTAGGGTTATTCATATTCACAAACTAATTAAGATTTGAATTGCCTCAATAAACCAGCAAAAATACTTTTCCTTTTCTGGTGTTGATTTTCATCTGACTTCATACATGCTGTAAGCTTCTCATCTAATCTCCGTTTAGCTTCTCTTGCCGATCCTCCCAGTTTCTCATCAATCAACGACTGTTTCTTCTTTAACATGCTTCTTTCCTGTAAACAACGGGTATCCATTAATATACATCACTACTATATACATCGATGACGAAATGAAACTGAAATATACACATAAAGAATACCAACCAGTGAAGAGGGTATTGGTGGGAAAGAAGTACTAGATTGAAGGTTTCGTGTATATAAACAGAATGAACGTGTTGTTGTGGGATCACATCCTTCTCTACTTTGATGCAACCGTCTCTTTCTAGCACATTCAACCCCTGGAAGCATCTTTCTAGCACATATAGAATTCTTGGAAAGAAATAGATAAATGAAGAACAAAAGTGAGACTAATGTTTGAAATGAAATATAAATAGCTTAGAAGGAAATGGAAGACGTGAAGGTTGAGGGAAGGAAGATGGTAACATCCTGGAAGTTTCGTTCCACGACTCAAACATTCAAGATGCGAGAAAGACGCGTTGGTTTTGCGTGTCACTTTGTAATTTACTATAGAATGAGTCAATCTAAATACATTTACTATATTTTGATAAAAACATATTTACTATATATTATCTATTTTTTATTATTATTAAGTCTCAAGATAAAAGTTCGACAACTCAACAATTTACAATACAGACAAAGGTTTCATCTCAATTTATTTGCTGAATTAGCTTTATTTAAATTATTATTACATGTAACAATATCACAATCCTTCTAATAAATATATCCAATATTATTATTTAATGTTATAATAATTTTCCATTTATTTTACTATTTATATTAACTTTATCTGGGATTTAGTTACTCATTATTTTGGTCACCATCTATAATAATTCTTCATTTACTTTAGTGCTTTTCTTATATTGACATTGAATTTATTATTTAAAATTTTGGTTACCATTACTCATTTACTTACTGTATCTATTAGTTTGCCTATCAAAAATATTGGTTTAATATCTTTTTAGTTATTAAATTTTAGTTATTGTTTTGGTTTAATCTCTTAAGGGAAAAAAACGTTTATAGTCATTAACTTATATTCTGTTACATATTTTAGTCATTTTTGTTAGTTTTTATTGAAAAAACATTAAAATTTGTCTTGTTAGACTTTAAATGGCTGAGGTGGAATTTGTGTATTCATTATAATGGTTGAGGTTGAATTTATATTACACTTAAGTACCATTTGAAGAATGGTGAATCTGAACTGGAAGACCCTACATGTATTAAAGAATGTGCAATGCAGTTTTTTAAGAAGAAATTCCAAAGAAAGCAGTGGAGGAGGCCGAAAATGAAACTGGAAGATGTGAATAAACTTGGTATTGCGGACAAGGAGATGTTAGAAACAATGTTTACCAAACAAGAGGTTCATGAAGTTGTCCTGGAGTGTGACAGTAACAAATGTCCAGGTGTGGATGGATTCAATTTCAAATTCTTGAAACACTGTTGGGATATTGTAGGTGATGATGTAACTAATGTTGTGCTAGAATTCTTTATCACTGCATTATTACCAAAGGCATTTGCCTCTTCTTTCATTTCCTTGGTACCAAAGGTGGAGAATCCACTTTGTCTTGAGGATTATCGACCAATCAACTTAATTGGCTGCATCCTAAAAGTGGTGTCTAAAATGTTGGCAAAGAGGATGAACAAAGTCATTGGAAAGTTGATATCACTGACTCAAACAGTTTTCATTCCAGGTCAAAATCTATTTGATGGAGTCGTTGTTGCTAATGAATGTATGGACATTGCAAAAAGAAGTAGGAAAAAGTGTTTGCTATTTAAAGTCGATTTCGCACAGGCCTTTGATTGTGTTGAATGGGAATTTCTAGAAAGTATGATGCAAGCCATGCATTTTAGAATTAATTGGAGGAGATGGATTAGAGGAGATGTGCAGCATAGTTTCATGTCTGTTTTAATAAATGGAAGTCCATCCAAGGATGTCAAGGCTTCACGTGGATTGAAACAGGGGACCCTTTATCACCAATTTTGTTTGCAACTGTGGTTGAAGGATTGGCAACCTTTGTAAAGAGGGCTACTGAAATGAAGTTGTTCACTGGTTTCAAAGTGGCAGATAATATGTTTGCTAGCACTCTACAGTTTGCTGATGACACACTACTTCTATGCGACAGAAATTACTCAAAATTGTGGGCAATCAAGTCTATACTGAGGGGATTTGAGCTGGTTTCAGGCCTCAAGATAAACTTTGCGAAAAGTTGTCTATACGGAGTTGGTATTGAATCTGAGTTCATGTTGGCTACGGAACAATTCCTATTCTGCAAATTAGGATCTATGCCTTTCAAGTTTCTTGGGCTCATGGTAGGGGGTAATCAGAGAAGAATAAAATTTTGGCAACCGGTTATTAATTGTTTCAGGGCCAGGCTATCTTCTTGGATTGGTAGGAAGTTATCCATTGGTGGGATAATGACATTACAAAATTCTATTATAGCAGACTTACCTATATAACATTTGTCCTTTTTCAAGTTACCAAAACAGGTAGCTAAAGAGATTATAGGAATTTAAAGAAAATTTCTATGGTCTAGTTCAGTGGGAAATCATGGCATATCATGGGTTAGCTAGAGATCCCTGTGTAAGCATAAGAAACATGGGGGTTTAGGGATCAATCATATAGTTCATTTCAATGTGGCAATGCTTTCGAGATGGTTGTGGAAGTGCTTACATAATGGTAACGAGTTGTGGAGAAATATCCTCAATTTTAGATACGACACTTTAGTGAAATAAATATTAAATGAAGATGAAAGGAGTATGGAAATAAATGATTCATTATGGATGAGGGATCTCTTGTCAATCCGTAAGACAGAAATTGGAAGCAACTTCAGAAATCTCGCGTCAGCAAAGCTAGGTAAAGGTACCAACATTTTATTGTGGAAATGCAAATGGCTTGGAAACGATGAGTTTAGAATTCTGTTCCCGAACCTCTTCAAAATATCTCCTACAAAACAATGGTATGTTTTTGATATGGGAGTTTGGGAGGATGGAAGGTGAAGATGGAAAATTAGTTCGTTACACGCAGAAGCTGTTGGTGAGGCAATGCAGGAACTATGGGACCTCAAACTATTGCTGGTTTCAATCTCTCCAAATATTGTCATAGATGATAGTTGGATATGGCAGTTGGAGAATTCATCTGTTTTTTCTGTCAAGTCTTATTATAATCATATTGCTGCTATGGGAACTTAATCTTTGTTGGGAACTCCAATTCTGACAACACTGGAGGTCCTTTAGAAAACTAACATTCCGTTGAAAATTAAGATTTTTGCGTGGTGGTTGTTTCTTAATAGACTTCTAACTTGCAAGAATCTCATTGATCGGGGAATTATAACTAGCAGCCATGAAGAAGTTTGTGCAATATTGTTTCCCTTGAAAATCAAAAAACAACCGTTGATCTTCCAAATCTAACTTTGGTGACTCACAGGATCGATTAGATTGATCCTAGGACATGTGCTAAAAGGTTTTTCGTTTTAAAAGTCTTATTCAAGTTCCACACTCGAACAGTATTGGTGTGAAAGAATCTTAAAGAAACATCTATTCGACTACGGGACACCTTAAAGGTAAAATAAAGCTTTCAATAAAAGAGAAGAAAGTTTGTTGGGAGAGGTGAAGTTAGATTGAGGACGAGGAGAAAAGAATTGCATAGGAAGGGGAAAAATAAAGTAAGGAGAAAAGGTGTAAAGACAATAAAAGACTTTGTAAAGTTTAAAGTAAAACAAGTAAATTGCATTAAGTTAAAAGATGATGTGTTTACATCACGTACATTCTCTACAATACTCGCTTTCTCTACACTCGGATACTTGGAGTAATTTTAAGAGTAATTTGTACAATAGTAAATTACAACACACTTTGGATATGTCTAAGATACCCTATTTATAGTAGTAAAAAATAACCTCTAATAACCTCCAACATCACCTCCTTTTGCCATTTGTCACAAATGCATGGATCTATCGCTCATAAGGTGACACGTATCTCCTTCAATATTCAACAAGCAAAACCGTTCCCTCCAATTTTTGAATTTCAAATCCTTCGATGAACCATCCCTAACAGCAAGCGGTCAAACTCCTGGCTTCTAGGTGAGTTCTTCGACTTCTTCTTTTTGCTGTTTTGCCTCTTTCGACCACTCTCTCGTTCTCAACCTACTTTTGACCCTTTTATCTTGAATTCCTTCCTTCTACATGAGGCGTCGAATTTAGGAGCTAACAAATTGCCCCCCAAAAATATCTTTTCGACTTCGAATGTGGAAAAGCACATTTTTTGACAGCGTCTGACCTTTGATGCCGCTTGTCCTCATGCGTGTTTTCTGATATTATTTCAACAAATGCAAGTCTGGGAAGGTGAAAGGGAATGAAAGAGAAGCAAGAAAGATAACTAGGAACACGCAAGCTACTGTTCCGCCACCTTGATGCACGTTTCTGACGTCACTTTCATCATGGCTATTTTCTTGGGAACCACCAAAATCGTGGGCCATCATTACCCTTCCAACCTCGGGGACGTGAATTGCAACTGCTGCCTCTGCCATCCCATATCCAAGCGCACACGTGGCCCACTAACTCTAGCCCCTTAATGATGAAAACTTTCAGTCTTCCATACGCTATATAAGTAATTTCCCTTTGATATTTTCATTTTTCCAACTTCTCTAACTCGTCACACCATCCTTGCTTTTTTCTCTAATTTTTCTGCTTCCCAACCAAAAAACTCTTACTTCCTTCAAAAATGGCTGATCATCAAAAGAAAAAAATGCAACTCAAAGGACAAACCTCTGCATCAACGCTCCCTCCCTTTGCCAGCTTGAGCGGTCCCCATGTGGTAAAGAGCCAACAGTTCATCCGCGAACCCTTGACAGAGGAGAAACGCCACATTTACGAATCTCAGGTAATCATTCCTGTTACTGTTGCAGGGAGACCTTTAGCCATGTCTGGGCCTTTACCCCCTCCAGGTCTTGACTATTCCGCCATTAAAGACTTCTTCCCCTCTTATTGAACCACTAAACCCTTAGGGCAAAAAGACTCCAGCAAAATCTCCACTGATGGCCCTGATAGCCTGAGCCTCTTCGATGTAGACCTTAGGTATCTTCATGATGGGGCTAGATTATTTAGGGCTACTCCCTACTTTAAAGATTCTGAACTTTATCTCAACTGGCTGACAAAAATAGAGAAAGTGAAAGCCCAGGAATGGAAGGACACTGGGATTTATGATCTGATCATGATGTCGAAGGTAGGCCCTTCGTACTGCCCCCTTATGCTGGCTTCTTCCTTATTTTTCTGGAATAAAACTCACAATACTTTCCA